AGAAGAAAAATGGGATCCACTCGTAGAAATAAAGGAAGACAGCGTGATAAGGAATTTAAAGATGAAGATGCAATTGGTGATGAAACCCCTGAAACAACAGAAATGTCAGAAACAGAGGCTACAAGACCTGAAGAATTACTGCAAAGAAACGAGCGTGACGTTTGTCTGTCTGTGCCACATGACACCTCCATGTTTAAAGTGTCTACACCTGCTTATTCTCCTGACATACAGAGCCCAACTGCAAAGAGTTATTCTGAGATTAGCCTGGACAGTTTAATTTCTGAAAGTGAAAACCTTAAGGAAGATAAAAATCAGACAACCTTTAATGTGATTTCAGATAAACCATTGGAATCTGTGATGGAAGAAGTGGTTAAATCTGAAACTGCTCTGACTGAAGAAGTCAAAGATCCTCATCACCCTGATGGCAACCAAGCTAAACAGCACTTTGTGACTCAGGAAATCAAGGGAGGTGATGTTCCAAAAACTAAAGACAGCGGAGTCCCTCTACAAACTCGACTCTCATTAACAACTCCACCTTTTGAGTCCCAACTTCAGGACAATACTGTGAGCACAGATAAGCAAACCCATACTGTCACCGAATCCAGGGGAAATAGAAGAAAAATGGGATCCACTCGCAGAATAAAAGGAAGACAGCGTGATAAGGAATTTAAAGAAGAAGATGCAATTGATAATGAAACCCCTGAAACAACAGAAATTTCAGCAACAGAGGCTACAAGACCTGAAGAATTACTGCAGGAAAACAAGCATGATGTTTCTCTGTCTGTGCCACATCATGAAAAGTCCTTTAAAAATCAAAATGACGGAGATACTAAAGTGATTAATGATAAACCAGTGCAGGCTGGGATGGAAGAAGTCAAAAAAGATCAGCACATAAAACTTTTAGGGCAGGATGGAAATTTACCCAGCAATATTTTGTTAAGTGGAACAACAGATTGTACCATTGCAGTTGAGATAACAACTGACCAAACCAGCCCAAGAGAAAGCACTGAAGTTGAATGCAGTGTTGCACAAGAAACATTTTTAGCATCTCAAAATGTGTTGACTACAAATAGGGAACAACATGAGCATTGCAACCCAATTGAGGTCACCAAAGCTAAGCAGTCAGAGGGTGCATTAATGCATCAGACTGACTGCAGCGCAAGTACAGAGAGTCACCAAACATCCTTATCTGAAACAAATATCTCTTTGGACTTCCACCATCAGGATAATTCTCAGGACATTACAGAAATTCACACACGCCTCAGCCATACAGGGAATAGAAAGAAAATGGGTTCAAGCCAAAGAAATAAAGGAAGACAGGGTGTCAAGGACCCTGATGCATACCAGGAACCTAAAGATGACATTTTAGAAAAACCCACAAGTAATGACAAACTCAGAACAATTGACATGTCACCAGCAACAGATATAACAAAGGAGGAAGAAGAAAAAGACCTCATATCCATTGACAAAGAAGTGCAGATTAGCTCAACAGCAAAAGAAGGCAAAAATAAAGAAAAGTTGTTGGAGGAATATGCATTTTTCTCACAGAATAATATGGATAGCAATACAGATGGACTTCTCAAATCTAACAAAGATTTCAATGAGGAAAATAAAGTTGTTCAAGATGCTATGAATTTAGATCAGCTTACAGGATGTGACACAATTACAAAGCACCTGATGCAATCACCACAAGCCTCAGTTTGTGAAATTCCCTCAGACATGCAGCATACCTCATATCATGCTGGCATCGAAGGCTCTAGCTCTCTGAAGGTGCTTGATAAAGAAGAAGCATTGGAGGCAATGGATGCAAGCAACGGCCAGCAAGAACAAACTCAATCAGGTAACAGAAATACTTTCCAAATAAATCCACAACAGAAGAAGAGAAAGATAGGTTCTTCTCGCAGGAGTCAACTCAACAGAAAAAAAGAGGAAGAAACAGACAACACAGATGAAACCAAGGAAAGTGACTTTCACACCGAAGCTGACGTGAGGAATACTGACAAGTTGGACGTGGTAGAGTTACCGTTAACTACAGATATACCACAAAATGAAACTGCACAACCGTTATTCTCTGCTGTTCATAAACAACAGGAAGCTGCTGAAACCTTTTCTGTACCAAGCAGTACAGAGATCAATGTGATACCAGTAGTAGAAGATTTTAAGGCCCCTCTTCCTGAACAGTTTTCCTCTCTCCGTGAAGAAACTATCAGTCTGGTTACACACGTTATCACAGGTGGTGTAAGAGAAGTTATTGTGGAGCCGCCACAGCTAGACAATTTTACAAACACTGAGACACAAATAACCACTGTGGTCACGGGTAGAAGCAGACGCTCCATAAATCAGCTGCTGCCCCCAAATACCGAGGCTGCCACAGACACTGGCATAGCAGAAGAGAGCTTAGTGTCTTTTGGTGAGGCCAGGCAAAATACACATAGCGATGAGGAAAGGCCAGAGAGCATAAAAGAAGTACAAGATCAAGATGCTAGTGAGAAAAATCCAAGCAACTTGAATGAAGGAGCTCATAATAAAACTCAAGAGATGAGGAGTGAAAGTCCAAATTTACATTTGAGCAACCAGAGAAGAAAGATGGGCTCCACCCGCAGGAATCTTGGATCCAGAAACAAAGAAGAGCTCCATCAAAAACAGGAGGTGGATAACGAAGCAAAGGAGACTGGAGCAGACATCGGGGAAACTGAAAGTGTCTCCAGAATCAAAGAAGAAGCACTTCAGCTTCACACAGATCACAAAAACAATGATGGCGAACAAGGAAAACAGAAAGTATTTGAAACAGTGGAAATCAGCCCTCCGGGTCAGTCTAAATTCAAACCTCTGCCTGAGCAAACAGTTGAAGAGAGGCCTGTTTCCCAAGACCAGCTAGCAGAAACAGAACATCACACTGCAAATGACCTCCTGTCTACATCCTTAAAAGATGATTTTGTGTCAGAATCAACATCTGGAGGGAGGAGAAGAAAATTGGGATCTAACCGAAAGTCCCGTGGACATCAGCGTATAGAAGACAAAACAGGAGAGGGCACAATAATAGATGATCAAAGTGGGACAGATGCCAGAATTTCAGAGGTAAGCAGCAATGTTTAGGGGTTTTTGTTTAGTTTAGTTTTTTAGTATTTAGTAGAAATCTTAATTGTTTTCAATTTTTCCAAAACCTCATGCACAGACTACATTTAAATTTGACTATTAAATGCAATACCTTATTAAACTTTGTTGTATTTATAATTCTATGCATAGTTGTGAATAGTGAATAGTTATTATTGGACAAGTGTTCTTTCACATAGGCAAGCCTACATTGTTATTTACACCCCATTTGCAGTAGACACTTTGCAAACTGGGTTGTTTGTGGCAAGGTCATTGTGACACAGGGAACTAAAAAGAGGAACGTGAGGTTTACATAGCATGTTTCACATACAGCAAACGAGAACATGTGTTCACCTTCTTCAGAAACCTGGCAGATAAGGGCTTTGAATGAGATCAGCAAATAATGGCTTTAAAGATGTCACAATAAATTATTATTATCGACAAAGAATGGGAAACCAGTATGTCAGATATTCCAGCTTCAGATATTATTAGGAGACGACTGATTACTAGATGATAACTAATCCAAGTAGAATAATTTGCACTTTCACATCATGAAATGAGTTTGTCATGCACATTTAGAAGCATAAAAAGCCCTACTTTTCTTTCTGCAGGTTGGAAAATGTGATAAGAAACCATCATCAGGCCTCTCAAAGAGTGAAGAGCACTCAGAGACTGTGAGGTAGGTCTAACACACAGATATTTTTAAAAAGGCTGGGGTTGTCCAGCTACCTAATTAGCTTTCAAGTGTTGGCTTTCCTACTTGACTTACTCACTGTAACTCATAGATAAGTCCAAATTTGTTACAGTGTAGTCTGTTATGTGTTATACTGAATATTCGAATATTCATGTTCATATTGCATATATAGCAACGGACAACTGTAATATCAGTCACCACAAAGTTCACTTTGTAACATCCAAAAGAAAATGTCCATGAGATTGTTGAAAACATTTTACAATTTGTTAATCTATTTGAGTCACATACAAAAGGAAAGTATACCTGTTTTTTTTTATTCTGAGCTTTTACAAATAAAACATAATAACACTGTGTCATTATGTAGTTAACAAAAACTAAGCCAAAATTCAGAAGGAGTGTGTGTAAAACTAAGTAGACTTTTACTGCTTCAGTGTGACCACCTTTATAAAGCCAGAAGTGTCCCTTTCCCAACGATCCCTAAACATTCAAGACACCTGCTAATCTTCCCAAAAGTGAACGTCCCAACAAATTCACCCCTAGGTCAGACCATGCAATGCCATGCTGCCAAGAGAAATCCTCTTCTCTCTAAAAAGAACGTGGCAGCATAACTGAAGTTTGCAATATTGCATCTGAAAAAGCCACAGACTTCTCGAACAATGTCCTTTGCACAGATGTGACCAAAGTAGAGATGTTTGGCCATAATGCACATAAAATCCAGGCCTCAACGTAAATTAAATGTGGTAGCAAGAGCTGTGCATTAACAAATGCCTGCAAACCTCAGTAAAAAGGAACAATGTCTGAAAGAAGAGCGGGCCAAAATTCCTTCACAGCAATGTGAGAGACTGATAAAGTCACAGAGAAAACAATTACTTCAACTTAATTCTGTGAAAATGCAGAATCATAGGGTGTGTTTAGTTTTTTGCACACTGCTTCTGCATTTTGACTTGACTGTTCCTCTGACGCTGTAGTTAAAATAATTTAAGAACATGGTAATGACCGGATGATTTCTTGTTATGCCTTGATAAGGTAAAAACTTGTGTACCGCATGGTACTTTCTTTCTTTTTGCAAGCTTTAAAAATACAGTTATGCAATTACTACTGTACACTAGCTTAGCAGTAGTGTATGCACTGTTTTCAGCTGACCTGCTTAGAGATGAGGTGTGAATGTCACCAGAGTGGTGTGGTTTAACAGCACACAGCTTCCTCATCTCTATTGTTTTAAATAAATAATCACAAATCAAGTGAATGACAAAATTCCTTGTCAAATGTTCAGTGCACGGCAACTCAAATATGAGCTTGAGACATTCTGAAAACTGACCATTTCAGCCTTTGATATCCTTACACTGTATATGTCATGAAGTTTGTTTGATTGTCTTTTCCACAGTGAGAAGACTTCAGCCCAACCTTGTAATGCTGGAATCTTTCCTGTTAAAGAGAATCAAACATTTTCTCTGGGTAAGAAGATGATCAGTGCAGCTTACCAATAATTATAGGGAAATTTTACATTAAAAGATGATGTATGACCAGACATTTTAATTTCAGTTGGTAATCCGGGAGTGGTAGACCCCAAATCAAAGCGCTACAATGTGGTAATGATTGGAGACAGCAGTGTGGGAAAGACCTCCTTCATGAAAAGAGCTCAAAGTGGGAAGTTTTCTTTAGATATACCTTCCTCAATCGGTAAGATCCTGGTGTTGATCTCACAATTAATCCTACTAATGTGTATGCACAGCGATGTACATGCTAAATATACACGTAAATATTGTTTATAGGCCTGGATTCGCTGATGTGGCCTGTTGTAATAGATGGAAAGCCTATGATACTACAGCTATGGGACACAGCAGGTCAAGAAAGGTAAGTCTCAATTTTCCTCTTAGAATGAATCAGTGAGACAAATTTTTGATGTTTCACAGAACATTTAAATTATATATCACTATGCAAATGTCTTGAGCCACTCTACGTTTCTTTATATTTTGATAGCAGTAATCTGCTGTAGATTGGTTTGTAAGCCTGCCAGTTATTATTTGGTCCTCCATTTGTCCAGTTTCCTAAATTTGTAAGGACACACAGCACACCATGCCAAGAAGTGACAAAACAATTGGAAACTGGCAACTCTTTAGGAATCATGTTGTTGGTTAAAATAAAAGCATAACAGTTTTATTGACTGTCAAACTGTGTTATTTTTTGGCATTTTTCATAGATTCAAGTAAAGAAATGGGAACAAATTATGTTTTTCTGACAGGCTGCTAATAACAAAGTGCCCAAAGATACAGTTTAAAATGGGTTCTTTGCTAAGTGTTTCCTTGCTGTAGACAAAACAATGTATTTCCCCTTGAGTCAGGTGCCATGTTATGCCATCTACGCTTGAATTATTCAAAGGTCAATTTTATGGTACAAGGACTGGACTAAGAATGAGTGAAAAAGTAGCCAATATCCAAAGGAAAACTTTGAAACACCTTCAGAAAGCTGGAGAACTATTGCTTAAGACCACTTTAAGAATTACAAGAAAGTCCTTCCAGGCAAAATATAAAGTAATGAGGGGTTTATCAAGACTTTTGCACAGTTTTGTCGCTGAAAGAAGCCAGGAGAGAATACATTTAACAGGTTTTTTGAGTTTTATTAATGTTTTTTCTAGTCTGTTTTGAACAGTACATATATTATAATGTACGTAGGTCACAGTAGGCTGCCTGTAGGAGAATAACAAATATCACAGTCGTCAGTGTGTTACGTATGACAGTATCAAAGTCCAACTTGTCTGACTTTTCACAGCCCTGGAATTCAGGTTATCTTTTACATTTCACGTTAGTTAAATTCTGTAAATGAGCAACTTGTCTGAGTATAAAAACACTGGGAGCAATACGTCTGCATTTCTGTGACGTCATAAAGACAAAAAGCACAGTTTGTCCATTAAAGTGCGTTAATTATCTAGTTGAAATTCTGCATTCTGCCAAGCCTTGTGATTTTCTCCTTCATAGCATGGGTTTGTCAGGAGTAGAATTGAGTCAGGTGGAAAAAGCAAAGATGACTTCATAATGAGTGCAAAAAGTCTATCCTTCTAATAAAGCAAGAAAAATGGCAAAACCTGTGCATGACAGTTCATTTCTGCTTACTCATTTCTATCATACTGCTCATAAAACTAAAAGTTAACTACAGACTTGTACGCACGAGTCCCAAACTACAATACAGCGACATATCCTGAAGGAAACATACATATCCAGAGAGAGAGGAAAAAAAGAAGCAAATTTCTATATCAAGGTTTTCTAAACAACTACTGCTTTTTGGAATTTGTTTGAGCCAGACGTGAACAGTTTTATATCTGTTTTGTAAATAAAGCCAATCATCAGAGAAGACGCCATCTCTTTTTTAAAGGTACAGGCTATTATTTTGTGGTTTATGATGTCCTGAATGTTGTGCCACATGCAGTCTTGCTGTTCTAGGGAGTGGCTGTGTTTTTTCAGTGTATAGATAAACTTCCCCGATGGCCAAGGACACACTGTCCCGCTGTTCCGAAGCCTGACAAGGAAGGCTTCCAAGTAGGCGACACCCAGTGTTCAAAGCAGTGTGCACACCTTGGAATTCAACCGAGATCTGCAGTTACTACTTGTAACAGTGTTTACTTACACTTGCTTTTGTAGATAGATACGGTATAGCAGCCAATTTCAACATGTAACAGACAATATGCTCAGATCAGAGTCTGTGTATTTAAAGACTGCTCAAGTGTAACTGGTTTCAGAATTGGTTTGGCACTCCTCAGTAATGTTTTGTATTCCAGAATACAATGCAGATTTTGTTCCAGTGACAGACTCAACACGGATGCAATTTAAAGATGCTCACTTTTAACTGCAGATTTTAGGCAGACTCGTGTTGGATAAGTTAAATTACAATTAAAAAACATAGCAAGAGTGAGAAAGCGTTTGAGACATGCAGTTCCCCAAGAGTTTACAAAAAGCCTCCTTAATGTCAACAATAAAGTGAAGCTTTATTCCAACTCTTCACCTAATGGGCAGGCTTCTAAGATCTATTTATTTTATTTTTGCTACAAAAACATCTGACATTTACTTGTTCAAGGAGGGAAGTCTGAGACATGGGTGCGTCTTGAAAAATATGTTCAGGGTAGGCTCTGCAAACTGCATTAAATGACAAATTTGTGACATTAACTTTTGAGTGAATGTGAGGAAAGTAATTCGAATGTGCTACAGTATGCAGAGCTAGTGTCTTCCTGGTTTCAAAAAGGAAGGATTAATAGATCACCTTTAATGTCGTGCTTTTCTGTCTTTAAAGGTTTCACAGTATCACCAAACAGGTCTTCCACAAAGCCCAGGCCTTTCTCTTGATGTATGACATCACCTCCACCAATAGTTTTTCCGCAGTCAGTTACTGGGCAAACTGTATTCAGGTATGTCTTCCCTTTCAAACTTCAACACCTATTTTTTAAACAGATGTTGAAATTACTAGTTAAACATGCTATGTTGTCAAAACAGTGATTTACTTTTATATTCATTTAGTGTATTTAGTTCTAATAGGCGGGGCTACACTGGCCACTTCATTAGCACACCTGTTCAACTGCTTCAAAAAAAGGAATGAACTAAGCACATGCAAGTGCATTGTAGACATAGTGAAGACTACCCGCTGATGTTCAAACACAGCATCAGAACAAGGAAGAATGATGATTTAAGTTAACTTTGAACATGGTTGTTGGATCTATTTCAGACACTCATCTACAATAAACTTTTCTCTCACAACCTGCCTTGTTGCGAGAGATCAGAGAATGGTCAGGCTGCTTCAATCTGATAAGCAGGCAACAGTAGTTTTAAAAAAATTACAAATAACCACCATAAGGTATGCAGATGAGCATCTCTGAATGCACAATACTTATCAGCTTTGAAGGAGAAGGGCTACAGCAGCAGAATAACCCACCGGGTGCCACTCCTGGCAGTTAACAACAGGAAATTGAGGCTACATTCACACAAGCTCATCACAGTTGGTTAACGGTAGTCTGGAAAAACGTTGCCTGGTCTGATGAGTTTCGATTTCTGCTGCAGCATTCGTATGCTGAGGTCAGAATTTGGTGTAAACGACATGAAAGCATGGATCAGTCCTGCCTTATTCAGGCTGGTGGTGGTGTTTAATGTTTGGGGTTTTTTTGGCACACTTGTCAATATGGACCAAACTCTCTGGGAAATGTTTTCAGTGCCTTGTTGTATCAATGCCAGGAAGAATTAATGTTGTTCTGAAGGCAAAAAGGAGTCCAACAGGGGTACTAACAGGTATACCTAATAAAGTGGCTTATAAGTGTGATACTGAATTGTGTATTTAAAACAGCAGCACATATTTTGATTCTTAGTAGAAAAAAGTATTAATAAATTTAAAACATCAACTATTTATAGTGGACGGGACGTGAGTGTCTGAAACAGTTGAACCAGCCTGCAAAGTTAGACTAGTTTGTAATAACATGTGCAGATTATCAAAATGATTCCTGTTCTGCAGGAGTCTGCTGCTGAAAATGTGACTGTTTTGCTTCTTGGAAACAAGAGCGACTGCTCAGAACGACGGGTTAAAACTCATCAGGGGGAAATTCTTGCTAAGGTGCGAATATGTTGCATTACACCCACTCATGAAACAATCACATTCAGTTCAGTAGTTTTAATGATCAAAACACCCACAGTGAGTGCAGATATTCATTCAACTCCACAGGAATATGACTTTGAGTTCATGGAGTGCAGTGCTGCCACGGGTGAAAACGTGATCCAGTCTTTGGAAGTTGTAGCCAGGTATGTATATAATTTTATTGTTTTTCTCTAAAACCCACATCTTTTAACATCGATATGCCCTGTAAAGTTGACTGCTGTGTCATCAGCTGATTGCACTGTTGCTGTGTTGTTGCCAGGAAGCTGAGTCAAAGAATTGACTCAAGAGAAGAAGCCACAGTGTTGCACAAAGAGCCAGAACAGAAAAAAAACTCAAGATGTTGCTGAACAAATGTGTTTGTCTTAAAAAAAAAAAGAAAGAAAAAAAAACAAGTGGTGAAATCCTGAAAACAAGAACACGCTGTACTCATCTGGCTTTCTTGTAACTCAGTGCATTATATTTTATTATTTGTACTACATGCCTGCATATTTTCAGTGTTGTTATATTTAGATATAAAATTATTTCTTCAAAGGCCTTATATTAGAATATTAGTTTATAGTTAGTAGTGACCAAAGTTATATAGTTCAGAAAGTGAAGGCTTTTTCAGTGTTTGCTTAATAGCTATCCAATAATTTAATGCATATACAAGCTTACTGTATTTAATTATATTTGCACCGTGTGTTTTATCTTGCAATATAACAATTTTTGTGCAATATTGTGCAACTTCAAATAATTTCAAATCACACGATTGACATTTTTCCAGATGAAGCTCTAACAACTAAAATCACAAGTTTAAGATTTTATGTGCAATTTCACAAAGTTCATCTCTGTTGTTGTACATCGACTAAATGTTTAGTCTACACCCTCTTCACTTTATGGATTTACTATACTGAAATTTAATGTAAATGTGTATATAGTATGATTAATTTAAACAGGAGAATACCCCATTCAGATATTACCAGAGATCAAGATGTGACCGAGAGCAAATCTAGTACAGTGGTAAATAATTATTATAGTAAATATATATTAAACATAATTATACTTGCTTTTTTGTGATTTTGTTTAGCCTTTCTTCTAAGTTGGCATTCATCTTAATTCAGTCATCACAACTGTCAGATCTGACACATAATTATGAATAAACATTACTCCCCTATAATTATAGTGCCAGGGACATGATCAGCAGATATATATGCAAATGTATTTTTATGTTCCCGTGCATTTCCTTTGTGACCAAGTACCTTTAAACCAATTGTTTTAATGGCGTGTCGCATGATTAATAAATCTCCAGATAAACGTCTGCTTGTTTACTTAATTTGTGCCCTCATGGAAGTTATGGGTTTCCAGACTGACAAAGACAACTGTGTTAGCAGTGGAAAAACAAGTCCGACAATGGTATGAAGAGCATGTCAACAATGGCGCCACTGCAATAATCTCATATAGTCCCAAAGGAGGTGTTGTGGGAAAGAGAACTAGACTGATCCCATGGGAATCATGTACCCACCTATGAGAAGTTCAGTTGAGTAATGTGGTTATTTCTGTTTCAGGCTTAAACATGTTAAAACAACAACAACATCAAACTACCTGGCAATGGTAGATTTTTCTGCTGTTGCAGATGAGCTTAACATGGTTATACTTTTTTGTCTTTCAGCAAGCAAAAATAGAAGAATGCATGCAAATCCGCATCAGAACAAGGGCAGGTGGTGAGCCAGAAAAACAAGCCAATGACAAAAGTTAAAGAACAACAGCTCAGGCCCTGCAGGGCTCCAGTTTTGCCTATTTGGAGCTGGACCCCTGCTGTGCACGAGCTGTTGAAGATTCAGCTCATTTCCCCATAAATAATTTCACATTACTAAATTCTTTAATCTTAGACATCACCATAATGCTGTGAAAAAAAACCCAAACATTTTAAATTGAAGAAAAGTGGTTTAATTTCAAGTTACCATTTTTATCCTGTGGCACAGACCCTCTATCATTTCTCTTAAATGGAAAGCTGGCTGCTTTTCTTTGGTTTGTTTATTTCCCACATACACTGAAACTTAACAAGGATCAGACCTGAGTATGACTCCAGTTAGTCTAATCACTACTAGTTTGACATTACTGGTTTAAATTTAATCAATGTCTGGAGCCACCAAAACAAGTGTAATGTTGACCTTTGGCCAGCTGGGGGAGGATTTGTGCCAGTAAAGCATGTATTTGAACTCATCTACAGAACTAAAAAACAACAACAACAAAAAAAAAAAACCCAAACCCACAGCAATTAAACTGATATCATAATCAAACGCGTGCATTCTTTTTGGTCTTTATTATTGTAAATTCATTCAGAATATAAGAAATAATATTAACATTAAGGAATTAAGCAATACTACAGCATTGCAAAATACAGTTCTTATTTTCCACCACAGTGAATTTTATATCGATTGATATGTGCAGACTTCTGGGTTTAATTCAATGGGTTTTACAAAAGTATTGCTTTAACTGTTTACAGCCATTTGTATACACATCCTGTAAACAAATCCTGGTCAAATGTTCACCGGGATTTCTAGTCTGCAAACCTCTTTCCTGACTGAGCTAAACTGTGGGAAGTTATGCAGCATCATAAAATATTTTTTTGATCGGGTCATAGGTCAATGATAGGCCTTAAGTGACTAGTTATTTTACACGATCTACCTAGCAACTCCGTCATTAATTTCACTTTGTTGAGTTTCTGTGATATTGTCTTCAGACGTTTGTAATGCAGATGTCTTGTTCGCTGCCTTAGAAGGTTTTTTATTTTTCTTAGTGGAATGATACAACTGGATGGCTTGCATGACATCAGCAGCAGTCCAGTGGTGATGGATCAGAGCGTCCTGTAGGGTAAAAAGTCCGTCTCTGGTGCGTCGTACTCCATTACACACTGCTGTGCTACGCAGTTCCAGTCCTATCTCATGCACAAGTTTACGCAGATACTTCTGAGTCTCATTTAGGCACTGCACCTCTGTAAAAACAGGAGACATGTTTGAAACTTGACCCGCATTTTTTTTTTTTTTTAAATCATCAAATATGTTTTATGTGTTCAAGTGAAGATTACCTAATGTGAAGTTGGGAGGCTGGAAGCGAATGCAACGTAAGCCGGTCAAGATGGGTGTCGATTTCCCCTCTGGACCCAGTAAACCTTGCACCGCCATCTCATAGGCTTCCTGTGAGCGCATGTCTATGCTGGAATACCTGTACAGCAAAAAAGAAACTAATCAAATATCGTTTAGTACTGTTGCAAATATTTACAGAGGGTCTTATGCAAAAGCAGAGGGCAAAAGATGCCATTATTAGGTTTACAGAAATGTAACGTCTTACGTCAACAATGTTTTTTGGTTGACTCCCTCCAGCATTGACAGCACTCTCTCCAGCTTATCCTGTGTGATGTGATCTAGGAGACAGCTTTTTTTAAGTATATTTAAAGGGACATCAGTTCACATAACAAGTGTTTTGCTTATATTCTTGCACTTCAGGTATATAAATTAGAACTGCTCTTATAAAACCTTTAAAACCACATACACAATTCAGTCACAGGCAGGGCTGAACTTCCATAAGACAAGAGGTGGAGTACACCCTGTACAGGTCGGTATTCTGTTGCAGGGCTAACAAAGAGATGCAGACAACTCACATTCACATCTACGGCCAATTTAGAGTCACCATAAGAGTCACCATATTTTTGAGTTAAATTGACACGCATGTCTATGGACTGCAGAGAAACCAGCCCAAGGACTGGGAGAACATAGTCCTCACAAAGACTCCAGCAGGTCAGTGGATTCGTAGCCAAGACCCTTTCCCTGCTGTAAGGTGACAATTCTAAACACAACACCTTTGTGCCGCCATGACACTTTATCAAAAAGGACTTTGCTATTTTAAGTGAAAGATTGAGGAAGCTCAAACTAAAAGAGAAATGATTCATACCATAGGTGGATCTTTCCACAACTCGACCTGTGTTAGTGAAATTATCTGTTGCAGTTCCAAATTCAGCCTCCAGGGTATAATCCTGCAAGAAATATTGTAGAATTGGATCTGCCAGCGTTGGATCTGAACTGCATCAGTTAATGTCTGAGAGAAAATTACAAATTACCCTCGTCACTCTTGTGGTGTAGAAATCATTCAGCGCCTTGTTTCCATTCCCAACGGCAAGAACTAGAATAGAATAGAATTCAACTTTATTGTCATTGCACATGCACATGCACAGGTACAGGGCAACGAAATGCAGTTTGCATCCATCCAGAAGTGCTTTAGCCATGATATAGATATATTACAATATATATTAGCAGTAATATAGATATGTAAGTATATTACAGAAATGGGTCTATTATGGTATGTTACAATGTACACTGTATGAAGTATGTTATGAATATTCTATAACTATAAGTATGTACAGGCTGTAGTGAGTACAAGCTATGAACAGGATATAAATATGAAATAAATAACTTTACAGAAATCTGAGATATACAGCTATACAGAAATGGGAACTATGCAAGTTATAAACAGTTGTAGGATTAAAAATTATCGTTTGTACAGAATGATTATTTACACAGAGCTATACAGTAGTGCAGTTAAGATAAGTGAGATATGTGGATAATTTCTACAGAGGCTATATAAAGTGCTAGTGGTTGTGAGTGATGGTTCAGTCCATGTTATTATTGTGTGTTTGACATTTTACATTTTAGAAATATGTGGATATTCTCAGATCATTCACAAAACGAATGCCAACACTGTAATTAACAAATGATTTTTTTCAAATGAGCAATTCTAAAATTATACCTAGAACACCCGAGGAGAAAGTATCGAGGCGATGTCCGACTCCAACTCGGATATGCTGGAATTCAGGTCCTGTGACTAAAATCAAAATGAAACATTATATTCACTCACTACAGTGTTATTCACCACACCTGAGGTTTAATTTACTCCAGTCACATCTAAATTGAAACCAGATTTCATGGATGACCTGTTACAGGGTAAAACGGTGGAGACACAGAAATCTGTTATTTCTGTGTCTCCACAGAAAAAGTTATAAACACTGTTCAATATCAAAGTGGAAAAAAAAGTTGTGAAAAAGAAAGTACAACCTCTTTTAAATCAAAGGGTTTATGTGTCAAATATCATCTGCTACCAAAAATGACGCAAATACAACCTAAGATGAACAACAACATGACACACTGTGTCTCATTTATTTATCTCGGCTTCTGAAATGCTGAGGCAGAGTGTAAAAATGGCCAATGACCATTATGGCCAAAACTTTCCACTTTGGTCTCATCTCTCTACATTATAATAATCATTATAATGATCACTCCAACTGTAGAATGGTGGACTTCAGATTGTTTTGCATGACCTTATAACTGCCTCATCCTGTTGCCTCTTTCTGCTTTTATAAAGGTGGTCACACTGGCTGATGATCAGTCAATCAAAGTCTATACACAATTGTGTATTTAATTTTTTCCACACACTGCCTCTGAAATTTGGCTTAATTTTTGTTAAATAAACAATGACACAAAATTATGTTATCCACTGTTGTTCATCTGAGGTCATATTTACCAAATGTGAAGACTTGCTGGAGATCAGAGGATTTTTTTTTTAATGCTGCGACATGTAAAACTGTAGAAAAGAAAGAGAGTGTACTTTTTTCACTTGTTCTGTAAAAGTAACAGATTTTAAGTTTTGTCTTTTTTTGTAAAAGAAGGGCTGTGAACTTTGCCACCTGATGATTTACTGCAAACTAAAGCATCTGACTGTGTTGTGAAGGTGTTTATACTTTAAAGGTGGAGTGATAGGGACGAGAGGTTGGTGCAGCTGGTTTCACTTGCACTTGGTTTTTCACAATGATGCTGACAAAACAGCTGCATGGACCATGAGGTCAGATAAATGTATCTTAATGCATCTGTTAATGTATCTTCAGAGCGGAGACAACACTTGTTAACATTTTCAGTAAGGTGGATGTACATACCCAGAGGGTGCTTGGATAGTACAGGAACCGATACTGCTGATACCGTGAGTCCTTTGGACGCTTCACTCTCGTGTCTGGGTTGTGCTAAGAGTCGAACCTCGTGGGGAAGTGGCTGGGAAGGCGCAGCATTCAAACCTGAGGTGTAATACACGCAAGGACATTCAAGTGTTAAGTTAAAGGCATGCTGAGTATTAGCTGCATCATGCCCCAGTTTAACAGCACGCATGGGTGATTGACAACAGGACCACAAGACACCAGTGAAAAATAAACTACACTCACCTTTAAGAAGATTTGTCTCGATGCTGTCCCGTACCAGTTTCCAGTGAACACCAGCAGGTTTGTAGACACAGAACAGGCCCTCTAACTTCCGAAACATCCGAATAGCTGGAGTTGCCATTATTCAGCAGCATCAGATTATACTTAGGTCTTGGAAAAATAATAAAACTAATTAAAAAAGACTACATGTCATGGAAATTTTGACGAGTGACAGTTGTTTTGTTTCTACTGCCACTTTCTTCCACGTGAGCCTACGCGCATGCGTACATGATGACGCTTTTCATTCCTTATTTTTGGCCATACCGCCATCTACTGGAATGGATGTATGTGTACGCTATTTTAGTCCTTATATAAGTAGAGAAACGCCACCAGAGCTTCCACCAGAATTATTAAACAGCCGCTTATTGTGTGTAGTAACAAGCTGGGAGACGTGGAAGAATAATTGGTATTTTATTGGGGTTTTTTTGTTTGTTTGTTTTGTGTGTGAATTTTTACGGTTTGTTTCAGAAGATGGCAGTAGCAGCCGCCACTCAGAGAACAGAGTGGAAAAGAGGACGAAGAAGAAAGCAGGCAGCTAACTTTAGTCGCTGTTTATTTTCGTTGACAGCTGAGAAGACTTCAGTATCATTTCGGCATTTTTCTAATTTGAGGTTTTTGCTGTAAGCTGAAGCTTTGGCCTCTGCTGTTAAACTGCTGTGTGCGGGCAGGTACGTTAGTTTGTTTTCACGGGACACTGGTCAGAGAAACGCTACGTAGTTATTGTCAAACTCCACTCGTACATATCCAATTATGGTGACCTCGGAGGCAAGAAACACGTTGCTAAAACCAAATATGAGTTGAACTGAAACCTGGAGCTACACAACGAAACAGGATTTGGACTTATCCAGCAGGGTATACCCCCATGGTAAATGTGCTGCCAAGCTAAACTTTATTATGTTCCAGATTAGAGATCAACATGAGGTCATTGCACACTGACCACTCAGTCCTCCTTGAAAATAATATCGCCATTCCTGGAAGATCAGACACCTCTGTACGTGGATAGTAGAAGGATCTGAAGTATTTTAATAGCATTAGACGACCTGCGCAGCACAGTGGTATGATGGTTAGTACCGTTGTCTCACCGCAAGAAGGTCCTGCGGTGAGACCTGGGTTCCTCCACAACCTTTCTGCGTGAGTTTTGTCTTCCTCCCAGAGTCCAAAGACATGTCGTTAGTTGTCGTTAGTTATTTGGTTATTCTAAGTTGGCAATAGGTGTGAACGCGAGTTTGGATGGTTGTCTGTCTCTCTGTCTGTTAGCTGTGCGTCATATTCGTGACATGTCCAGGTTATACCCTGCCTTTCGCCCTATGGTAGCTGGGATAGGTTTGCTTCCTATGAAAAGTAATTTCTTCTTTCCAACAGTCATCAAGTGCTTTCTGGAGGATTACCCAGTTGTTCGGGTTTCTCTCTTGTATTGTAAGATCTAATAATGGGCAAAGTGAGGCTTTGTGATACAGTGAAATATTTGAAGCAGTAATGCCAGGATTATGGAGCAGTTTCAATGTAAAACATGAATCTCACACGAATCTCCACAGTGTCACCCACTGGCCACTTTCACTATCATCACACCTTGGTAGGTACGACAGAGACAAGCAGTTGTACAATAGATCATTAATGACTATGGATCATTAATGACTGTGGCTAATAAACGCTGTGGTTCAGCAAATACTGTCAGACTATAATTAAAACATATTCAATAATAAAAGTGTAATAAAATACAGGAAATGTTGTTGACCAGTGGTCAAATTGGTCACGCTTAGTATTACAGCAGCAGTTTTGAATGTCTTAAAATCGTCACCCTGAAAAACAGTTCCCGTAACAAGAAAATAAATAATGTTAATAATATTCAAACATGTTTCTCTGTGTGAAACAGCCTGATTAGATAACTCATATTTTGCTCAGCTGTTGTCTTCTCTTTGGTGTCCATCAGGTGTGATGCGAGCTCCTCTGCGCTGGGTGCTATGGGATGTGAAGGACACCCTGCTGAAGGTGCGCTCATCTGTGGGAGAGCAGTACTGCAAGGAGGCAGAGCGTATGGGCTTGAGCCTCAGTCCTGTGGAGGTCGACGCTGCTTTCCGGCAGGTTTATCGACAGTATTCCAGTAGATACCCAAACTACGGCATCAGTCAGGGCCTGAATGGACAGTCATGGTGGAGGGGGGTGGTGCGGGACACTCTCTCTCAGTGTGGTGTACAGGAGCCAGAGTTGCTAAACACAGTAGCCAACAATCTTTACCATAACTTCTGCAGCGCAGATAACTGGGAGGTAAATGATCACTGACACGTTCATACACCTAAAACACCTTGTTTAAAGATTTTAAACAGTTCCTCGAATAATGCTTTTTTAAATTTTATGCAACGATATATAAATAAAGGCTACAGGATGTGTATTTTCTTTTAACTATAATCATCATAATAAGCATTTCATACTGAACCAGAAGAACAGAGCACATTAAATATCTGACTTGTAAAGCAACTTAAACTTTGCCCCCGATGTTTGGAGAATGTCATGTTAAACTGTATAATATTCCTTTGTTTCAGGTATTTCCAGACTCAAAGAAGGCTCTGGAGAGTTGTTCTTCTCTTGGACTGAAGCTGGGTGTGGTGTCCAACTTTGACAACCGCCTGGAAGCAATCTTACACGTTTGTGGGCTGTTGTCATACTTTAGCTTTTTAATAACATCAGAAGAGGCTGGTGTAGCAAAGCCCAGTCCGGCCATCTTTAGTCAGGCACTGCAAAAATGTGGTGTGCCAGCTGATAGAGTAGCTCATATTGGGGACCATTATGTTAATGATTACCTCACTTCTCGGTCTATGGGTATTCACGGCTTCCTTTTAGACAGACATAAGGATGGCCAACTCGATGTTCCTAGGGAGCATCGGCTGATTTCACTGGATGAGCTGCCGTCACGGCTCCAGCAGCATATGAACTAACATGAGTCATAAGATAAGATAACCTTTAGTCCCACACGTGGGAAATTTGTTTGGTTACAGTAGAAACAAACTGTGTCAAGTGAAATCTACTCAGAACAAACTGGCTTAATTAGCGAAATAATGTATGGACTGTTGACTTAAGTATATCAAACTACTTCATCTTCATAAGACAAATGAAATGCTGATAGAAAAATGTAAAGAAATCTTAACATATTGTATAGTTATATGTTTCGTCTTTGTATTATAAAATATGTTGGGAAAAATAAGCCTCTAACTATACTGTGTCTCTGAAAATAGAGAATATGAAGTGAGGCAGCAAACTGTCAGACCTTCGACAAGGTTCTGAAAACATTCCTGAGAGATTGTGGTCCATGTTGATATGATGGCATGCAATTGCCATATGCTGTTTGGCATGCGCGCATCCATGATGCAAATCTCCTGTTCCCCACATCCCAAAGGTGCTCTGTTGGATCAAGGTGTGGAGACTAGAGCCCATTTTAGTGCATTGCCATGTCCAAGAGAACTATTTCAGATGATCTGAGCTTTGTGACATTAGAAGATGGGAACACTGTGGTCATAAAGGAGTGGACATGTTGCGCAATAATAATCGGCTCATTTGGTACAGTGTCCCAAAGGATAGATTCATGGTTTTCTGGTGTTTTAAGCCAAATTCTGACCCTACCAACTGACTGTCACAGCAGAAATTGAGACTCATCAAACGAGGCAACTTTCTTTTCCTAATCTACTGTCCAAATGTGTTAATTTTCCTGTTTGACTGAAGTTCCTGTGTGGTCGTCAAGGTTCAAGGTGTTATGCGTTCAGCAATGCTGTTCTGCATACCTTGGATGTAACGTGTTTTGATGCTGTTGCCTTCCTATCAGCTCAAAGGAGTCTGGTTATTCTCTGACCTGTAGTAGCCACAGTGCATTTTCTGCAAGAGAACTGCTGCTCACCAGGTATTTTCTCTTTAATCAACTATTCTCTGTAAACCCTAAAGATGCTTGTTTGGGAAAGATCCCAGTTGATCAGTGGTTTCTGAAATAATAAGACCAGCACAAATAACCAGTGAGGTCGTATTGAGCACATCTATATGGCTGTGTGCATTGACTTGATTTATATTTTATTGATGTCAGTGACTTTAAGGTGGTTGACTGCAAAAAAAATCAGCACTGAAGTCTATAGTTTGTCTTTTCTTCTCTGTAATGTCATTTCTGCACCATCAGGCTAAAATGTCTGCTGGCACCAAGGTAGTGCCAGTGGAAAGCATAACTGAGGACTACAACTTTTTTTTTTTTTTTTAAATTAAGAAGTTTATATTAACCACTGGAGGAATTGTTTTAGAAGACAAGCCCAGAAATGTTTTTGCAGCACTCAGGACATGTCAATTCTTTTACCATCTTTTTAAATAATCGGTTATTTGGAACTTGTCCCCACATTTAGGGAAATTATACAAAACAACCGAGTAACCATCTGCTTTGAGCAGAGCTGCTATGAATTGTAGGCAGCAAATGTATTTGCAATCGATTGTGTCAAGTCACATAAAACATCCACAGATCAGCTGAAATATCATGGCAGGAGTCTTGCTGTAAAATAAAGTGTCCTGAAAGTTGCCTGCATTCTCTCAATTTGTGCTCAGCATCAGCTATGCAGGTACATTTCTTTAAAAGGTTATTCATTAGCAGGCCGCTTTACAGGAGCTAAAAAGCTCTGATCATCCCTAATGATATTTCTCAGTGCTTAGCAGTGAGGGGAACAAGGCAGGGTTGCTTAACCCTAATACCTTTGTAAGTACCCACTTTAAACCATCTGGTCAGAGACAGATACTGGGAATGTTGGACTGAGGATCAAAAGAGCTGCAGAGAGACCAAAGTGGAATTGCTATTTACAGCAAGCTCCAGCCTCTTATAGAATACGGATTAAATCTTTTTTGGAAGAATGTCAATGTTTTTAATTTTTAAAAGAAAGAAAAAAAAAAAAAAAAAAACTACACCCCTCCCACAGTGTTCAAAAAAAATTTTTTTCCCCAAGTCGTATTTTCACCTTGAGTCGCGTCCAGTAAAATTTTTCCCCATACGAATGCTTGTACGTTGAAGGGTATTGTATATCTTTAGGGAGTCATCCGTAAGAGCTGCTTAATTCAAAGCTGGTTTAGTAGCTCAGCCAGACGGCTCTAAAGGGCTCCACAGAAATCCAATTGCAGGCATAATGGGATTGCAAAAAAACCAAAACCAAGCTTCTCATGCAGAGAGCCAAAGGGAAGAGCAGAGGAGGTGCAGCATGTCATGAGGGAAGATGTCAATCCAGTGACTTACAATCAAAACAAAAGCCCAGCATGTCAGCACGTGAAGCGGACTCATATTGGAGGATGAATGTTTGAATGTGAATGGGTATAGATTCTGTGAAATAAAGAAATTAATAAATAAACAGGCTGAATGGCTATATAGCAGAAGCTGGACAAAACCTTTCCCTCAGCCATAAAAGCACTCAAGACTGCAGCTCTTTGTTCAAATGTGCCTGGGGTTCAGAGTTCCGTGTTGGCATTACTGCATCTTGAAATATTCAATGGCACAGAAAAATAGAGTAGAAGATCAGAAAATTAGGGTATTTTGAGAGAGCGAGCGCTTCACAAGTGAAAAGAAGGTCACGCAAGGAATAGAAAAAGAGACTTGAGAGATGGAAGAGCAATTAAGAGACATATGAAAGAGACAGGCACACACTTGCATATTTAATTCTTCATTGGAAAACAAATAATGGAGGCTTTCCAGTTGTGCCAGCATAAGTCTGGCACCATAAAGGGATAATGCATGAGAAGCTCAACAGCGGGATGTGTTCACCCAGCAAATCCCCCAAATATATCTGTTTCAATCCTGCAATACACATGCAAATTCTGCAATGCAAAAATCACGTACTGTAAACAAAGACAAGTTTATCATCCACTCAGAGGCTTTTGGCATCGAAACGCCATCACATTCACAGTGAACACACAAAGCATGTGCACATGCTTCACAATAGTGTCAATTTGTCCTTTAATTCCCTCACCAGTAACATAAAATTATTTAGAAATTTCAAAATAACCACTTTAAACTTCAGAGGCTTTTTTTCCCTTTTCCTTTTTTTTTTTTTTTTTGAGCATTGCTATAAACACGGCACTCGTATGCTTTGCATTTAAAATAAAAGCTGTGATTTAAGTGCATGCATGCTTAGGGGTATATGTGCAAACCGCGTGCTTAGTCCCATCAGTGTTCGTTCAGGCAGTTAGAAACGGCATCTCTCGTATGTGGATGCGTTTAAGTGTCTACATCGTGCAGTGAGTGCTGTTTTTTTTAGCTTTTTTTATAAGCAGTGAAGAAGCTTGCAGATGAGCGCAATTTTCCAAAGGTACTGTAGGATAAAGTGGCCACTCGTGTTGGTAGAGTTCTTGCTTGCAAATTTAAAAAAAAAAAAAAAAAAAAAAAAAAAAAGGGAAAAAAAGAAAGAACCTCTGATGCATGCACATGTACAGGTACAGCTTAGGAATTAAAAAACGGAAACTGACAACCATTTTCGTTTCAGGAGCAATAAAGAAAGTTTCATCAAAAACGCTACAGGAATAACTTAAAGCTGCAGTCTCTGCATATACATTTTGATTTAAGATCAGGAAATCAATGTGCATGAGTCTAACAATTTCTACTTCTGTCGAGTGAAGTGAGTTCCTTCCCTAAAAACAGACACTAAAACATGTTAAAGCACCGGTTTCCCCACACCATAAATTATTAAAATGTCCTTCGTGCTCATAGTGTTCTGATGAAAATGTGCAAAGATATTAAAAGACAAAAATAGGAATTGGGGATGTATGACTCAAGTGAATTATTCTTGTCCTGCAGCTTGAAATAACGCCTTTTCTATTCAGCATCCACACAGGGTGATTAATGGCCTTATAGATAAATTCCCATGTCCTTTAGGCCAGCCATAAACTCTAATCAGGACACACAGGGCTCTTCTCATGCATGATTTGGCGGCAGCATCAGTCTCAGAGGGTCAAACAGTCTGCTGCAATTCTGAGTATTTTCGTAGAATCAAAGAGCAAAGCAAACACATTCCTAGATTGTTGAAGTCCAAAAGGTCCCAGTCATCAGATAGGAGAAATGGAGCATTTAACCTCCCACATGAAGAAGGCCTACCTCAGTCACACTTAAGATACTGTATTATCACTTCCCTTCTGGCCTGCTGTACCACTTTGGATGCAAGCCGTGGGGTTTGAGAACCAGGCAGATGAGGAAGACTGAACACGGCATGATACGAAGAGCTCATGTTCAAGTGAGATGTTTTCTCAGACCACTGAAAGACAAAGCCCAAACATTTATGTTTATGTTAAGGAATTGTCTAAATAGTTAATATTCAGAAGATTATCAACAAATTCCACAAAAAAAGACGAACATTAAATTGGTGACGCTGTTGTGGTACATGAGGTATGATGATTACTTTTTTTATTTTCCATAGAAACTCTACTTTTTGCACCCCTTTCCTACTTCCAGAGGGCCTTCTACTTTTAGCTCCCTCGTGGAAATGATCTAAAAATAACAATCACTATCAACTAACCGAACCTTTACAGGGGATCGTCACTGCTGATGAGAGCTGGGTCTCCATCTATAACTTGAAGAGACCACAGTTTGCAATCCCAATGATGGAGAGGTCAGGAGCAGGAGCGGGACTTTTAACTGAATTCAAAGTTCTAGTAATCAACGGTTCAAGACTTTTAAAGTAGTATGTTTTGCCAGCATGCACCAGCACACAGTTTACTGGCCAGACCTACACAATCAAGTTGCTTTATATAGCTAGGTCAAAATCCTACAAAACTATAACACATAACCCAACACAAGCATTTGGCAACAGTGGGAAGAACAAACTCCCTTGCAATAGGAAGAGTGCTACAGCAGAACTGCAGTCGGGGAGGGGCCACCAGCTGCCTCAACTGCCTGGGTGGAGTGAAGCACACATCATAAATTCAGTTCAAGGGGATAACGGAGGGCAAAATATAAGAATTTAAAAACTACTACTAATAAAAGTACTCCAAGCAGTCCAAAGTTGACCTTGAAAGAAAAAACGTTATGTGATATACATTTATCTGCCAAGTTTTTTTAATGTCCGTTTCCCAGCGTTTTGAATCTTTGTGATTGCACCTATCTGCATTGTTGTCCAGTTACACCAGTCACAAACATGTTCACAGATTGGTGTTCACTAGTCTAAAAAGGGTCCCTGACAATATCTTACTAGAAATCTCTGTGGCCTGTTTGTGCTTAATGCAGAAGCTCTTCAAACAACTCTGAGCCACACACAGCTGTCAGGAAGTATTGAGAAACAGAAATGATTTCATTAAAAATAATGTCCATAACAGAAAATTTTAACCGTAATCACAGACAGATAAATGGATGCACTCTCTGTGCAAACACGGCAAATGTTGACAGCCCATATTAGTTGCCCACAGTCTTCACTGCTCTCAGCTTCCACCCTCTCATATTCATCTAATGGATACTGCATCCCCTGCAGTGTGTAAATGGAACTATGAAGTTAAAAATGCACTTTGTAATAAGAAAGTAAAGTCAAGTACCACTCTCAGATGGACAGCAGGACACGCCGTGCTTTTCTGTAACATGGTGATGTGCGTGGCTGCGCCTGCGACAGTCTTGTCTCCACCAGCAGCTGGAAGAAAAATAGACCAAGCAAACTCACTGTGGCATCAATTTCATCTAATTTTCAATTAATCTGTTGCTTACAGCACAAGATATTTATGTAACTTACTGTAAGACTGTACATAACACCATGATGAGAACACACCCAATCACACACAACACCAGCATCGTGGCAATGGTCTGTTGCCTGTGATTGGTTGCAACTACAGCGAGGAGGTCTGCATGCTCACACCTCATCCCGATAAAGCCTGGATGACATCTGCAACACAGAAAATCTGGATGAAAAAGAGCCGCTGATGGACTTTCATGACACCACTGCTGGCTAAAATGCAAAGTTACAACAGTTGTTGGGATGAGGGGATCTTGCTCACATAACACTGCCTTGGTATCATTTTCTGTTCAGTGTGACGTTGACGTGTTTTTCAAATAATTCTTTGGATTTACATTTTGCTCAGTGTTGCAACACTTTTGAACAGCAGGTTGTACATCAGCAGGATTGCAGTGCCTTAAATTTCAGTTTCAAACAGTTTCAGCTTTAAACTGTAAAAGTGTTGTTTTTCATGTGAGACCACAGACAGGATGCAAAGGTGGTGTTTTATAACCATAAATCCGCTAACTTACACACATGCGGGTGTCTCTTCCAGTATAAGGAAGCGGCACGTGCCGTGGAAGCAGAAGTGTCGGTGGGAGTCTGGACAGTCGTCGAAATGAGACCGAACCGCTGCTGCTACAAACTCTGTTGAGATGAGACATAATGTTGGTGTTACTCTTCATGTTGTTGATCTTAATGATGTTACCATGTTTAAAGTTGACAGAGTGTTTTTGCAGTAGTGTTTCACACTGAAGCTAATAACCAAAATGAAAGTCTTTTGGTAGAGTAGCTAGCTAGTAGAAATCCATTTTATAGGTAAAGCTGTTCAATCCAGTAACACAAATATGTAATCAGTCAATCACATGACAGCACCTCAGTGCATTTAGGCATGTAGACATGGTCAGGTTCGACCTGAAGCATCAGAATGGAGCAGAAAGGTGATTTAAGTGACTTTGAATGTGGTTTGGTTGGTGGTGGCATTTCAGAAACTGCTGACCTGCTCTCATCTTTAGGTCTGACGGCAAATGGACTGAAAAAGCAGCAGCAGCTCTCTGGGTAAAAATGCCTCGTTGATGCCAGAGGTGATGGGAAGAGAATGGCCAGGCTGCTTAAAGCCAAAAGCAAGGCAACAGTAACTCCACCGCTTGTTACAACCAGGGTTTGCAGAAAAGCATCTTTGAATGCAGAACTTGACAAACCTTGAAGCAGATAGGCTACAGCAGCAGAAGACCACACTGGGTGTTACTCCTGAAGAACAAGAAACTGAGGCTATGATTTGCCTGGCGCCACCAAAATTGGTCAGAAGAAGACTGGAAAAACATGCTTGGATAGATGAGTGCATGCTGCAACATTCAGATGGTAGGTTCAGGATAGTGATGTAAAGGCATGCGGGATATTTACTTGGCACACTTTGGTTCCCTTAGTAACACCTAGGGAAGGGTATCGTTTAGGTTTTATCCGATACCGGTGCCAAAC